AAATGGCAAAGTGACGATTTAAATGACATTTTTCCCGATTGAGTTGTGGATGAAAGAAAAATAAAATTTGTGTCTATAAAATGACATAAATTTAAACTTTCAGTGATGATTCTAGTGCCACATCATATAAATCTCTATATACATTTTTGGAGTACACTTAGCAAATAAATCCTGGAGTTCCACTTTATTTACGAGTCCATGCCACTGGTATTTATTATTTACTTTTACAAAATTTAAATAAAAGATATTAACCAAACAATATCTTGCCTAATTTGTTTCTAAAAATCTCTACACAATTTTTTCATATATCTTCAAAAAATATTTATAGCAGATATTTATATTAACATTTTGCATAACAATAAAAATACTAATTTATAATAATCAAAATATTCACATAGAAAAATCATATACACATACAGAAAAAAGAACTATATCTATCATCATTTAAGCCGTTACTTTATTTAAATAAAAAACACAAAAACTTGAAATCATATACTTTATATGATAAATTTAAAATATATGTTAGTAGTATAAATTTAAAATCGTTTAAAGAGCGGTATACCACGGGTGAGATCCTAAAATTATTAGATTTTATAACAATAATAATTTATTTTTTTGGATTTTATAACACTAATAATTTAGCTAACGAGATAATATAGACAGGTTTATATGGGATAACGGGTTTGGGTCGATATTAATAAATAACGGTATATCACGGATAAAATCCTAAAATTAACAATTAAAATCCAATTATACAATCTTAAACACAAAACAAAAGAAACAATATTAACAAAACAAATCCAACTTAAAATTTTATATTTTTAGTTATAAAAAAAACCGACTCACGGTATACTGCATAGTAAAATATTCAAAATTTTAAAATCTACCATACATCGTTACTTATAAAAATGTATGTTTTCGTATCTATACTTCAAAAATTGAAAATTAAACAATAGTAACCATACACTAAATAATACATAGATATATATCTACATTTAAAATTATAAATTAATATGATATATCTTCAGTTAATCTTTTAAAAAATAACATTACATTTTTGAAAAAAATATAGCCCCGGGTTAAATTCTAGTAACTTATTAAAAACTAACTGAAACTGCATTAATAAGATTGAAATATTGAATTTATTAATCAACAAAATAAATGTTATTTACAAAATATATACAAGAAAATAAATGAAAAGGGCAAAACGAGAGTGCATAAAAAAAATGAAGAAAAAAAAATGAAGAATTAAAAGAATGCAGAAACCGTAAGAATGAGTGTGTGAATCCGCTAACGAACTCCACTAGTTTGGTACCATCATTACAAAAAATCCTGAAGTCATAATGAATCTTAATAGCTGAAGGAAACTACTATGTTTACAATGGATTTCTTTACGAGACAGATTAAGTGAACCGTTAGGTGATGTGCGCTTCATAACAGAGCTTTGTTACTAGAAGGTTATGTATGTGTATCTTTCAAGGAAGAATTAATTACCTAGATACATGTAAGAGACATTCAGGTAAATGGTTTCCAAGTCTACGATACGTCGGAAAGATTACCTTTGTGCAAACATTTTAAAATATGAAAAGTTTCTATTAAAACCGTGAATTTATGAATAATTACGGGCGTGAAGCCAAATAGTTGATTTTAAAAATAACAAACATATGTGTATTTCATACTATCCAGTTCAAGTGGACTGAACCGAATGGTGAATCTCTAAACAAGTCCTGGTACCATATGCATTATAGAGATCAAACTAAGATCTCTTCGTTTTAGCTTCAATCCTGAAAAATATTCGTTTCCGTCGTTTCCATTTTCCTTAACGACTATAATACGGTTTCCAACAAAGTACCCACTTTCTCCGGTGACAGAAGAGTGATGGAAGTGTAGAATCTCAAAGATGTTTGATGGCTTGGCAAGTACACTCTCTCTGATCCTAGATTCTGATTGACCAACAATCTCTGTCAGTTGGTTATTCAGCAGAGACAAAAACATCTCCAAAGAAATAGTCATGTGAGGATATGGTTCTTGGATCACCATATTTTCAACATAAAGAAGCAAATGGAAATTGTGTCAGGGAGAATGTCGTAACCCTAAAAAGGATAAAAGTTTTCTTATCCCGATTGCCATCGCGTCATCTCCGGTCATCACAAACCCCATCGATTCCCATTAAAAACAATATTTTTATACTCTAAAATTGTTAGAAGTTAAAACCGGTTCTCAAAAGAGATACTCATGAGAACCCTCTCTCTCATACACACGTCGTTCTAATATTGGTTTAAGATTTTATTTATAAATCAAACACCGGGAAAATGCTCATTTTATTCTCCAACTATCGTGTGTGCAAATTTAATCTTGAACTTGTCGTTGACTTAACAATTTTGGCCAAAAATTTGGTCAACATTTACTAGTTATTAGAAAAGCGCTAAACGACTCGATTAAAACCTAATAAATTTATGAAATCCTTAAAATTTTCTCCAAATTAAAAGCTAAGAACCCTAAGTGATTTCTTCTCAAGATCGATTGAGACACACATATAGATTGAAATCGAATTCGCATATTTTGACGAGAGTATCATGAATAAATAAAGGAAGAAGCTTCCAATTCAAAGGGATGACTAAGAACCCTAGTTCTTAGCTTTCAATTTGGGGGGAAATTTGAAGATTTTATGAGTTTATTAAGTTTTAATCGAGTCATTTAACGTTTATCTGTTAACTAGTAAACATTGACCAAATTTTAGGCCAAAATCGTTAAGTCAACGATAAGTTCAAGATTAAATTTGCGCACACGATAGTTGGAGAATAATTGTGTTAATTACAAATAGTTGGGGAATAAAATGACCATTTAAGATATTGATTATAAAATTCATAGATTATTATTTTTTATTTTTTAATTTTTTAACAATTCATAAAATAAAATTATCTATATATCAAACTCCATTATGCATAAGTTAAAATTATATTATTATTATTTTAATTGATATTTGTTAAGTTTTTTTTATAAAATACTAGATTTATATTATTATTTTTAATACAATAATATTAATATTAGAATAAACAGAAATTTTCAATGTAAAAAGATATATTTTTTTGTCAAAATTTTGATATTCTAAAAAATAATGTCTACTTTCTGTCATATTTTTGTACAAAATGTCCAATACAAAATATTTATGATCTTTTTTATTGCTAGTTCTATAAATAAAGATATAATTAATAAGTATAATTGAATATATTCAAAATCTAGTTTGACATATAAAATTTGAGTATTATGGAGTTAAAAAAATTTAATCTGAATTTTGTAATAAAATATTGACTTGAACCACATCATCATGTGTACCATATTCCTTTACCTAGTAGTTCGAGGACTCCGGATTAGAAAACTGAGAAGCAAACAGATGTGTAAGAGTTGCCCGATGATTATGATTGTTTGTAAAATTCGTAGTGATGCGGGTTTAAACGACTGATTTCATCTATTAGGATACTCAGATTTAAACGAATGCTTGCTCTTGGTTATGATCTACTTTTTGGTTAAAATATTAATATTATAATGATGAGGTATCTATATAGTATCTACCAATTGAATGATAATTTTATAATGAATCTCTCATAATAAAAAGAAGAATATTAGTATTATATTGGTCCAATGAGGATACTCGTAAGTCGTTGATCTGATCGTTCAAATCATCAACGCCGTCAATGATTCGGTTTAACTTTTTTTGTTGCTAAACTATTTGTGATTGCAATATTATAAGCGAGAAACTTTAATTTCTATTTTAAACTAATTGTGGGTTTGGGTTTGAAATATTGTTGTTTGGTAACATTTATTTTATATTAGCCAACTCATGTTAAATTTTAAAATTGAAAGCAAGATCAAAATCAAACCAGAAACATTTATGTTTTATTTGCACTTTTGGTTCAGAGTAATACTAAATCCCAAAACCGGATACGCCGGAAAGATTAACTCGGTGCGATGGTTGTACACACATATCCTATTTTCTTCTAGAAATCTTCTCACTCCCATACACTACTCAAACAAACATGGTCAAAGTCTCATGTATCTCAAGCCTTTGGGATAAGTATTTAAATAAAACCAAAAAAGACTAAAAATTGTACGCATTACACCTATCCATGTAAACCTGAAAATGATTGTTATGAATATTTTTTTATTAATCTTAATGTATAAATAATTCTATAATAATTAGATACTGGATGAGGCTCTTACCAACCTTGCTGGTGAGCATAAAACTGTATTATGAATGGAATAAATGCATTAATTATAGTTGAATATTCTTTTAGAAGAAAAAACCTATTACTACAGTTAAGCACCAAAAAAATTGGGAGAGCCAAGAAACAGCTGTGTCATGGAGAAGCGAGTGATCTGATAGTGACAAAATTGGTTGGTGCCAATACCATAAAATAATTGTTTTGTTTCAACATACATACATATAATTATATAAATAACAGCAACCTTCTTTCTTGTACGTATCTTACAAAATACATACACTTCGGTGTTTTATACTATTTAATAATTGGTGGTGAATAGTATACTATATTTTTAGGTTTTTGTATTTTATTTATTTATTTATATATTTTTCATTAGAGTTTTTTTTTCATGTTTTTATGTTTTAAAAAGTAACTTTGTTATATATTTCGGTCGTATTAAAAATATAACTAAAAACGAAATATTCGTAATCGACATTCGACAATAAGTATTTTTGTTACATTTGTTGTGGAATTGTTATTTTTCTTGTAGACTCTAGTCTAAACCATAAAACAGATGAACCAAAGTTGGATTTAAGAAAGTCCATATTGACTATATATCCTTGCAGAAGAAGCGACTCATTTTACACTATTCATTCATGTTGACTATTTCGGTCCATATATAGTCTCTGTCCCAATTGACAACGGAAGGAAATTCATCAGTAGTATGAATTAAAAGATGTCAAAATTCTAAAGTATGAACGAGGAACCAAATTCATATAGAGGGTGTACTTAAAGATATATACCCTAAAAATCTTATTCACTCCATAATATGAGTAATAGTCAAGTATGGTTCTCATTGAGAAACCTTGAAAACAAAACGCCATAATCATACAAATACATATAGAACGCAGAAGAGAGCTATTTTGGTTGCTCGTACCAACCGGAGCGTACCAAACAAGCTAGTACAAAAACACACTTGTGAGTTTTGGTACGTTCCGTTTTCTACATTGGAATAACCATTCAAAGCCTTCAGACTTTTAATACCTCGGACCTCGTACCAGCTTCCTCTCATAGGAATTGTTCCGGAAACTACCAACCGAAGTAGACCGTTCGGGTTTGTTCGGAATTGTTGTGGATAGCCATTCAAGTCCTTCGTATAATCCTTGCCCGGAGATGGCTGAGGTTCCTTGTATAAGCCTGCCCCAATCACAACCACATACTAAGTTTTTGTTTATCCTCTACCTCTAAATGTATATATAAGGAACTCGAGACGAAGTTTTTATTATTATTACCAACAACGTTTGGATAGGCTGTGTAGACCAAGTTTGTTGGCAACCTCGGCTACGGGTAAAGCATTTCTTGAATCTTGCTTGTTCGCAAAGACAAGTACACATGCACCTTCTAGTTCATTCTGTGCATTTTTTTAACCAATACAGAAAGTTGTTAGGATCAAAAAGAGGACAGAATAAGTAACATTTGAAACATTGATATGACTTTACATCGGTCAGTATGCGATGCAGCTCGTTTCGAGCTTCTGATATCCTTTCAATATCACTGCTGTCCACCACAAAGATAAGCCCCTGTGCGTTCTGGAAATAGTGTCTCCACAGTTTACGAATCTGTTGAATAAGCAGACATTGTTTTTCAGATGAATAAAATGATTCAGACCCAATAAGAATAGCCAGACTGGTCAAGCCTTGGCCCTTGAGACTTGAGAGACCAAAGAGATAAATCTGTGTGTTTATATGCACTTGTAGAGAGGTAAACGATAGATGAATATGGGAGATCAACATGGAGTTTACCTTCTCTTGTCCTCCTATATCCCATACAGTGAAATTGATGCCTTTGTATTCTACTGTCTCGAGGTTGAACCCTGCAAAATCGCAAAACAAGCCAAGAATGGATAAAATGGTTAACCCTGATGATCCCGATGCAGATACAACATCGACATGAGATTTATCAAGCTACAAAGAATTGTCTTCCTAACAGATGCAAACATAATCAAAGGGAAAAAGTAACTATCTACAGATAAGCTAAGATCCAAAGAAAAGACACAAAGTATATATAGCTGGAGCTTGTCAAACTACCCAAACAGAGTTTCTTTCATATTCCTCAATTGATTAGTAGACAGAATCAATATCTTGCTCTAACTTTGTATTCAATCTCTCACAAAAAAAAAAACTTTATGTGACATACCGATAGTAGGCACTGTTGTGACAACCTCTCCAAGCTTCAGCTTGTAAAGGATGATAGTCTTCCCTGAACCATCAAGACCCACCATCAATATCCTTACTTTACTTTTAGGAAGAAACCTTTTCGCTATACGCGAAAATCTAGCTCCCATGTAGATTGTAGAACAAACAAAATTCAAGAAAATTTAAGATATAGTGAAAGAAACACAGCTTCCAATATATCAAGCTATGTCTCATAAAAGGAACAAGCTTGGGCTTATATGAGATCTATGAAGAGTATTTTACACACATGCGAAAAAAGAAAAAAATAACTGAAAGTTTGATTTGCAGAATGTAAAGGCAAGCAAAAAGGCAAAATCCCATTAGAGAAAGGCTGGAAAAGAATAAATTCCCAAAGGAAGCGAAGAATGGTGTGTCCTTTTCCAAACTCAAAAGATCATTAGGACACAGAGCAAGACTGGTTAGATTCTGTGTTCTGTCTTTCTCATTCTAGAAGCATATCAGAATCTTATTCCTTGAGTACATCACCAGCAATATGGAATATTATTACAGGTACACAGGAAAGACACGAAATTAGAATTGCATAAAAGAACAAGTGCATCAATAATAAAACAGAACATAAAGTTGAAATATTAATAGTGAAATTGATGCCTTTGTATTCTACTGAGGCAGACCTTATTTTTTTCATCAGACCAAGTCTCTCACTCTCTCTTAAACTACTTGGACACTCTCAAAACTGTAGAAAAATACCAAATTCAAATAAAGCCAAAGCCTTTTTTTCATAAGTTCTCACATAATTTTGGTAGCAAAACTATAGCTTGAGGAACACAAACTCCTCCACGGCCGGAATTTCACCGATTTTCTTCAGAGTCTCTTTGCTCGGCATGTCATCCACACCAATTGCCATAACCGCTTGCTTCCTTGGCGCAATTCTTCCAACGCTCATGAAACTGACATTAACATTCGACTCTCCCAAGATGCTTCCAACAGTCCCGATCATGCCTGGCTGATCTACTTGCCTACACAGTATTATACTTCCTTCAAGACTCACATCTACTTCAAAAGAACCCACCTTTGTCAAATGGGGGACCCCATCTTTAACTCTTCCTTCAACTTTGACTTCTCCAGATTCAGATAAGGCGCTGGCAAATTTAGACTCGACGTTGCCTAGCTGAACCGTGATGGTCTCGAGTGGACTCTCTGGTGACCCGTCAAGGACACCCCGTTCCTCTGAGATTCTCATACCTCTCTGTTTTGCTGTGTAATCCGCGTTGACAAGGTTTACATACACGTCGGAGATCGGCTCAATGATACCCTTCGTAATCATGGCTCTGAGAAGTCTAGTGTCAAGATCGTCAGTGGCTCGAGCCGAAGCGTAGGTCACTTTCACGTTCTTCACACCGCTTCCTCCAGCCACCAATTGGACAGCCAGTCTCCCCAATTGCTCCGCCAATACCACATATGGTTTCAGTTCCGCGAGAACCTGTGAACATCATATGCTTTTGTGAATATAATTACACCCCAAAATAGCCTCTTCTCATTATCTTTCAGTGTTTAAGTTTCTGATATCTTGTTAGCATAAAGAAGGCTCACCTCAGCAGAAACCATAGGTGCATTAACAGCAGTAGAAGCAAGCTCTCCATTAAGAGCTCCAACAACAGCTTCTGCAATCTCAATAGCTACTCCTTCCTGTCAATACCAAACATAGTAATTAAATTTAACTAACAGAAAGTCACAACAAAAGCATCACTTGAAAATTGTTAACACAAATGCAGAACCTGAGCCTCGATAGTACTTGCTCCAAGATGAGGTGTAACCGTAACCCTCTCATGCTGCACCAACTTACTATCCTTAGCCGGCGGCTCTTTAGTAAAAACATCAAGAGCAGCCTGAGCAACAATACCAGCATCTAAAGCTCTAACCAACGCATCTTCATCAATAACACCTCCACGAGCCACATTGACAATCCTCACCCCTTTCTTCATCTTCGCAAACGTTTCATCATTAAGCATCTTCGAAGTAGCAGGTGTAAGAGGCATATGTAAAGAAATGAAATCAGCAGTCGAAAGCGCTTCATCAAAACTCACTAAATCCACACCAATAGCATGAGCACGATCCGCAGGCGCATAAGGATCATGAGCAATAACACGCATACCAAGTCCTTTAGCACGTCGAGCAACTTCTGATCCAACTTTCCCAAATCCCATCACAGCTAATGTCTTCCCCACTAGTGATACACCAACATACTTATTCCTTTTCCATTCTCCTACATTACACAAAACAAAAACCAAGATTATGGGCCGAGAGAGGACGTGGGTGCTCACTGGTAGGGACGGTCAGGACGTTACAGATCACCTAATTAGTCCACAATACAAGAATCATCAAAAAAGGGACTAACCAGCTTTAACAGAAGCATCAGCTTGAGAAACATTTCTAGCCATAGCAGCCATAAGTGCAATCCCATGTTCAGCGGCGGCGATAGTATTCGCAGTCGGAGCATTAACAACCAAACAACCAAACTCCGTCGCAGCACTTAGATCCACGTTATCAATACCAACACCAGCTCTTCCAACAACCTTAAGTCGTCCACGAGACGATTCAAACACATCACGACCTACCTTCGTCGCACTTCTAACAATCAACGCATCACAAAGTGAGATCTTCGTGTTTAGCTCCTCTGGAGTCAAGTTATAAGAACAATCGACGTTTGCGAATTTGTCAAGTAGCTGAACTCCAGCTTCGCCGAGCTTCTCCGCTACGAGTACGGTTGGTTTGGCTCCGTCTCCGGTAGCAGTGCACGTCACGAGGATAAGCCGTTTTGGGGGAATATCGCGTTTACTGCGAATAGAAATGGCGGATGGGAGAGGTGATCTGGAGGAGAGAGATGAGATTTTGTGGGGATTCACGGCGAGTTTGGCCGAGGACGTTACGGCGGCGGCGGCGGCAGACATTGGAGATGACGAGATGTGTAGTGGTGTAAGTGAGAGAGGTTGGTGGCTTAGTAGACGAAAGAGATCTGAGTTTTATATATAATCAGAGATGTTTTGGTTAATCTCAGATTCTTAATTATATTATTTTGTATGATTAGTTAAGAGAGTTAGGAAATTAATATCAAGAAAATTAATTTCATTTAGTTGATTAATTTAATATGCAACACAATGTTGATTTTTCAGATTTCTCCTATGAATCTATACGGCAAGCTTGACTTTATTCACAGAATGACAGAATTAATTGGATATCGGTTTAACCTGGTTTACTTAGATGTATAACATTTTATATGAAATTACCAGATACATACAGATCTTTTTTTTATTACTATCATATTTCGGGTATATTTTTTATACCCAGCGTGCCCCTGTTAAACGTTACAGGAAAAAACGTAATTACAAAGAATGCCACTGCCACGTCAGCAAAGCCGCGTCGCCACGTCAGAAATCGCTGACGTGTATTAATGAACTCAGCCGTCGAGCGATATAGCGATTTCTGACGTGGCGACGCGGCTTTGCTGACGTGGCAGTGGCATTCTTTGTAATTACGTTTTTTCCTGTAACGTTTAACAGGGACACGCTGGGTATAAAAAATATACCCGAAATATGATAGTAATAAAAAAAAGATCTGTATGTATCTGGTAATTTCATATAAAATACATCTGGTAATTTCAGAAATCGCTGACGTGTATTAATGAACTCAGCCGTCGAGCGATATAGCGGCAGTGACGGCTGAGTTACGGTATGTTGCGGCTGATTTAAGAAAAATGGCTGAGTTATGAGCAAACGGCTGACTTACGAGTATAACCCAGCCTGGAGTTACGGCTGACTTACTGAAATCTGTCTGAGTTATGATAAAATGGCTGACTTTCGAGCATAACCCAGCCTAAGTTACGGCTGAGTTTTCACCCGATGGTTGATTTGTCAAATTTTTGGCTGAGTTATTGCTTCGACACGGCTGACTTAACTTTCTCCGGCTGGCTGAGTTATCAAAGACGGCTTAGTTATGGGATGACGTTACGGCTGATTTATGTTCGAGTATCATAAATCAGCCGTAATGAGCTGGATTAACGGAAAACTCGGCCTTATTATGGCTGACTTAGTAGCGAAAGATTAATTACTAGAATAGCATGCAATGACGGCCGACTTATTAAACGACACGACTGAGTTAAATATTTTTGGTTGAGTTACGACAGTAAACGGCTGAATTTGGCTGCCGTTTTTTCGTTTTTTAATTACTGTAATAGTATTCATGTTGCGGCTGAGTTAAAGTTTTGTTTGATAGCTGGTTTAATTAAGCTGATTTACATTTTCGTTTGGTGGCTTACTTGCCACTTCATCAATTAAAAAATGACGTGGATGCAACATTCCATGTCATCATTCCATGTCATCATCATCAAAGGACAAAAAAATAGGGCCAAATTTTTTCAACTCGTCTTCTTCACCTGAGTTTATCACATCACCGGAACTTCCAATTCCTCATCGTCTTCCTCATTCTTCTTCAATTTCTTTCATCCTTCTCCCGATATGGTTGATCCGGTTCCGGTAATTGGGTATAAAAACACAAATACGTATTTGTGAAGTTGGTGCTCGATGCGAAAACAACGCACGAAAAACTTGTGAAGTTGGTGCTCGATGATAAAGTTAGAGGAAATGTTGCGTCTCTTATTGTTTCGCTGCAAATTTACATGTCACGGCTGAGTTATATGCTTAAGGGAAGACGAAAGGTTCAGTCAATTTACATGTCACGGCTGAGTTATATGTTCCAGGGAAGACGAAAGGTTCGGTAAAATTACATTACGGCTGAGTTATATGCTTAAGGAAAGACGAAAAGTTCGGTCAATTTACATGTCACAGCTGAGTTATATGTTCCAGGGAAGACGAAAGGTTCGGTAAAATTACATTACGGCTGAGTTATATGTTTAAGGGAAGACGAAAGGTTCGGTAAATTTACATGTCACGGCTGAGTTATATTCTCCAGGGAAGACGATAGATGGGTGTAAATTATATGTTACGGGTGAGTTATATGCTTCAGGGAAGACGAAAGGTTCGGTAAATTACATGTCACAGCTGAGTTATCATTCAGGGAAGACAAAAGGTTGTGTAAATTATATGTTACGGCTGAGTTACATCACGTTACGGCTGAGTTACATCACTTTACGGCTGATTTATAATACAGATCGGAAAACAACATTTTTTTGGAGAAGACAATATGAAATTTATTGGTCAAATAACAACAATCAAATTAAGATTCGTAAAAATATGTTTGAGGGATACATAGGAGGAAGACTAAACCGTATGAATCAAAACATAGATAGAAGTAGAAATGTCTCCAAATAGATCGATTGAGAGGAAGATTAAACGAGAGACATGTAAAATCAAAGTAAAAGAGTAGCTATTCTTGATTTCAACTCAAACCTGTAACGAATCATGTAGAATTCCATAGATCTTTTTGTTTTGGGTTTTGATTTTTGATGACTTTTTTCGTGAGCGTGGTTGCGAGTAGATCTGACGAAGCTTTTGATTTGGGACCCTATGGCAAGCGTTGTGGCTGTGAGGTCTAGGAAGATCCAGCCCAATCCTGCAATTTGAAGATCTCTGTCAATGTTGTACCCAGGTTAGTTGCAGATTATTAGAGCTAAAAGCTTTTCTTGGATTTGGAGACAAAAAAAAGAGAAGAGGAGAAATGATCTAAAAGCTTTTCTTGGATTTGGAGACAAAAAAGAGAAGAGGAGAAATAACGTGAGTTTGAGGAGTGTGAGATTGGTGATGTGGATTAATGACATGGATAATCAAATTTTTATTTATTATTTTTAATTAAAAACGAATTAAAAATTATTAATTAAAAAAAAACTAATGAAGGGTGTTAATTGTAATTACACAAATGCTCAAAACATATGAGTAATTTTTAGAAAATGTATGATATTCTAGTAATATTCGAACTTTTGGTTAACATCTGAGTAAATATTTCTAATAATATTATTCGATAACAATGCAGTTTTCAAATAGGAGAATTTTCTACTAATAAAATCAATCAATCTAAGAATCAGGCCCGGCCCGTCCATAAAGCAGCTAAAGCTCCCGCTTTAGGCCACAAATAAATATTAAAAAGTTGAGGCCACATTTAAGAATCTTGTTGGTATAGTGGTAAGTGTCTGTCATACTTTCTTTTTGTGTCAGGTGTTCGAACCCCATGAAGTTATTTTCATTTTGTCATCTTTTTATCTTTCATGTTGCTTCAGTTCAGTCATAAGTAAAGATTATTCTTAACAACTTGTCATCACGATTGTTAATTTAAATATTATTTTATAAACTAGCAATATCCATACGTAATTTTACATAAGTGAAATTTCAAAAATGTATACACAATAACGTGTGTTTTTTGTTTTTGTTTTTTTTTTGTTTACTCAACGTGGTTTTTTTTTATAAATTATTGATAAATATTTTTTTGATAACTAAGAATAACAAGTAATATAGCACAAAAATTATTTGGTATAATCAATAAAATTTGTTTAAAAAAATATTAGACCATATTTTGTTAATTTGCTTTAGGCCACCAAATTAATAGGACCGACCCTGCTAAGAATCGTTGATCTTTGTGAAGATCAACGATTCCTAGATTGATTTTATATAAGAGAAAATGAGAGTTGCTAGGAATCTAAACATATATGAATCTAAACTTGCTATAAAATCCTAATTATACAGGTTTGTAGGCTTCTCATGAGATAATATTTGCGTTTCTTATGAATGCTCTAGTAAAATGACAATATGATACTTTATCGAGAAAACAAAAAAAAGTGAAACAATTCAAATAACACAAAGTAATCCATTTACATTGATATCTTTCTAAATTGAATAAAGTAAACAACTAAACAAACATTTTCTCTAGAACTTGGACCACTTCCTTCATGGACGGTCGCTTTTGAGGCAAGGAAGAGACACAACCATAGCCTAACTTCAAGCATGCAACAGCCTCATCCTCGCGGTGAGCCACATCGACCCTAATAGTCCCATCGACCAACCTCAAGAACCAACTTTTCTCATCGGTCTCAGGATCGTGAACCAAATCTCCATCAACCAAAAAAACTCTGCCTGTGAGAAGCTCCAAGAGTATAACACCAAAGGAATAAACATCCCATTTGTTGTTTGGCTTATGGCTTGTTGACCACTCTGGTGGATGGTGCTGTGAGCTCAACACTGGTCCAGCCGTGAGTGAATGGGCCGGAGTCATAATACGATCAAGGCCCATATCTGTAATTATGGGCTCAAACTCGGAGTCCAAGAGAATGTTATTGGCCTTGATGTTGCCGTGAACATGCTTCTTGTCGTGGATATAAGCAATTCCTCTAGCTATTCCTCTTGCTATCTTAAGCCGTGCCTCAAATGAGAGAGGATTATGAGAAGACGAACCTGATTTTGCTGTTTTCATATCAAACAAAATAAATGTTAAAATATCAAGATTCGTAAAATAATAAAAAAATCATAGTTTTCGAACTTGATCACTAATTTGTTTATTAAGAGTAATGTGCTAAAATGCGCTGACTATTAGTGCGTATTATAGCAAATATACTGTAACTAACGTAAGCCGTTTATGGAAACTTACCGGAGATGGAGGAGAGAGGTAGGTTTCCATTTGGGACATAGTCGGAGATCAGAAGCTTCTCTTCGCTCCCCCAGACGAAGCCACGAACCCTAACGAGATTTGGGTGACGAAGTTTAGCGATACCCTGAACTTTCTTTTCGAACTCCTTAAATTTCGCCGCCGGACAACTCTCCGCTCCAATCCGCCGCACCGCAAAAGCTGCTCCGTTCTCTAACACCGCTTTATACACGATTCCGTCGCTTCTGTTGGTTCCAAGTACGTAAGCTGATGCCTTTAGTAGAGTATCTAGTTTTAGCTGAGTTTCTCCATCGACTGTCACTAGTTGAGTTTCAGTGTTGTGTTTAACTCGCCCACCACTTGTTCGATTAAATGCCTCAATGGGTTTTTGGTCTTGAATTTGGTTCTCTATGTCACTCTCGGATGACGCCGACGTTGTTTCGTCGTACGCTCTAGTTATCCATGAACCACATCCTATTTTTGCAGGTGGAGATTTGGTGAACTCCGAGGCGGCGGCAACGTTGTGTTTCGAGTTTTTCATGGAGAGTGTATCGTTTTTCTCGAGACATTTTTGTAAGACGTTGAAAGTGCTGTATTCTTGGTAGCTTCTACGTTTCTTGAGCTGGTATATGTAGAGGATAAACATGGCTATGATAGCTAAAGCAGCTATATCTGCGAGTGTAATGCCGATGATTTTGCTTGGTTTTAGTTTGCTTTTGGCTGTTTGGTTTGGTGATTCTAGTGATGGAGTTGTTGGTGATGGAGTTTTGGGCATGACTGCTATTGCTGGTGAAGTAATTTCAGAGATATTTGGTGGGTCTGATAGAGTAGAAGGGATTGAACAAAGGGTGTTTAATGGCTGACCACACAAGCCTATATTACCAGAAAAAGACTCAGTCTTTTGGTTAAGAAATGGTGGTGTACTAGGGATTGGTCCTGTTAGATTGTTGAAGGAGAGATCGAGGATGGCATTTGCTGGAAATTTCTCGGTGAAAGATGGAGATATCATGCCGAAGATTTGATTGTGTGATAGGTTGAGGTAATGCAGACCTGTTCCCCCGAAATCAGGAGGTAGAGATCCGTCTAGAAGATTTGAGGAAACATCCAGAACCTGAACCGCTTCAAACCCGCTTGGAATATCGCCTGAAAATGAATTCTTCGCCAAGGAAATGACTGTCAGATTCTTGAGAAGGGGGAGATTGGGAGGGATTTTGCCGGTAAAGGCGTTGGCAGAGAGATTCAAGAGCTGGAGACTAGCCACGTTGCTGATACTACCAGGTAGTTCACCAGAAACCTTGTTATTCCCAAGGGACAGAACACGAAGCTCACTGGCATTGGTCACAGTATCCGGCAGTGACCCATGGAAGAAATTGTTGGAGAGATCCAAGATCCTTAGATGTAGGATCGAAAACAAGTCGGGAGAAACAGAACCGAGAAGCTGTTTGTTGGGAAGAACCAAGCTTGTTACTCTTAACATGTCTGGGGTGTTGGGACTCCCAAGCTCTGTACAGGTAACACCGGTCCAAGAGCACGGTGTTTCATCGTCATAGTTCCAGTTGCGTAGAACAGAGAGAGGGTCATTGAGGATAGAGTATTTGAAAGAGAGTAAAGCAACACCATCTGTGTTAAGAGCTTGGATAAGAGTAGGGAGAAGAAGAAGAAGAAGATGGAAGAAGAGGTTGCTTGTGTTGGAAGTCATGGTTTGAATTCTTAGGTTTTCTCTTTTCTCTGAGTATGTTTATGAAAATGCATATTCATAGGATAGAGAGATGGTGAACCACTGCAAATAATGATTGTTCTGTTCACCAAACTTTTTGAGATATTGGAGCAAAACAAAACTATGAGGTTCTGCTTTGAGAAGGTGAGGTTGAAAGAGATAAAGAAAGGGGTTGGTAATTTTTTAATTCTTTATTCTTTTTGTCGTTGTTATTTTCTCATTTAGTACTTTTAGTTTTTTCGAAGTTCGTAGAAATGTCCGCAAAAATATAATGTTTTTCTTTGGGCTATAATTATTTTTCTTTACTTTTTGTTTCTTCTGATCCAAAAAAAAATAATATTCATAAGTTTTGAATTTGGATTTCAACTTGGGATGTTGCCGAGAAAATGTATATATATATTTTGGGAATGTTCATTTTCATTGTGTTATCCAATTATTCAAAGAATAATTTGCTCGAATTGATTGTGAATTATATATATGTGTATATATATATATATATATTGGGAATGTTCATTTTCATTGTGTTATCCAATTATTCTTTGAATAATTTGCTCGAATTGATTGTGAATGCACTATGCTATTGGAAATTGAAAGCCTTCTTGTGGCAAACATATTAAAATCACGACACCGTTGACCTGAACTTGTATAAAACTGTCTTTTTATATATTTTTGTGTAAAGTAATGAAATGAAGTAAGTGAAACAAAGCCATTAAGCATCATTTGTTAGCTCCTTTCTAACCTTACACTTTGTAATCATTTGCAGTAGCTCAAACAAACAGGTAACCAATAATGATTGATGGAAACATATAGTTAAACTTAAAATAAAACACACAAAAAAGGTTAAACTTTTGAAATAACATATTTCCTGTATTTTCAAATGATCATGGCTATGATTTGTTGCATGCTGGAGTAAAAAAATGGAAATGAGAGTAAAAATAATAGAGGTAAAACAAATTTATATTCTGGCGTAAATATTTATTTTTAGGAAAAAATATCGAAAAAAACCGTAAACTTTCAAATTTTGGACAAAAAAATGAACTTTTGAAATAGAAATATTTACTCAGATGTTAACCAAAAGTTCAAATATTACTAGAATATCATACATTTTTTAAAAATTACTCATATGTTTAGCGTCTTTGTGTAATTACAATTAACACCCTTGATTAGTTTTTTTTTTTTAATCCATTTTTAATTAAGAAATGATTAACGAAAATTATGTTAATCCACGTCATTAAAAGAAAAACAAATTAAAGCCACGTCATTAACGTCATTAAGAGAACCCTTTCGATTTCCCTCTCTGTCACTGTTCGTCTCCGAAAAAAAAAAACTGTTTCTTTCTCCGACGGAAACGCGATTCCGACTAACACTAAGAAACCCTAATTCCGGCCGAAACTCTTAACTCTCTCCGTCGCATTTCGTCTCTACTCAAGTCGGGACCTTTTACTTCGTCGCCTCACCTCAAGTCGGGACCATTTCGTCTCAACTCAACTTGTTTAAGGTATGTGTCGAATCTTTATTTTGGATTTTCCGACATTTTTCCCGCATCTAAGTTCAATAGCGAGTGATTTCCGTGATAGAAACTGTTTTCCGAAAACTATCGCGAAGAAATTGAGGGTTTTTATCGACGCTTATTACAGCTGATTTTCGCCAACGTTGATTTTCATATGGTGGCTAATTTGTTATATCTATTCGATTCCATGGCTGAGTTATTGTTTGCTTTAGACTGATTTATGATTTATCAATGCATCTATGGCTGAGTTTGTTTTATGGTGTGGCTGAGTTTGTTTTACGTTGTGGCTGAGTTACTCTCTGCTTACGACTGAGTTATGGTTTATCTGCTCAACTGTGGCTGAGTTTGTTTTATGTTGTGACTGAGTTACTGTATGCTTACGGCTGATTTATGGTTTATCAGATGGCTGAGGTTATTTCTGAAGAACAACCAAGGGATTACCCTCCAAGACTTTACGCAGAAGGGGAGTCTATTCTGGAGAATAAATTGTTAAATCACAATATCAAGATGGGAGATGTCCCTGTGATTATAGAATCAATAGGACAAGATGCGTGGAATGAACTGAAGGGGTCACCTATTGGAATAATTGCTAAGCTAGCTGAAAGCCAATTCGTGTGGTCTGGTAAGACTGTACATTTTCTACTGTGTAGACAGTTAAGAATACACAAGAAGGAGATTTGGTTTCTAGTTGGTGGTCAACCTATCAGGTTTGGCTTGAACGAATTTGGTCATATCACGGGGTTAAACACAGGTTCAATCCCTACAGAAAAGTTTGAACCTAAAGCTGACTACAAAGCGTTCTTCAGTGAATTGAATGTGCCTGGTGGTGAAGGTCCAAAGTTAGATGAACTGAGGGCAGGATTACTAGTGTGCAGGACATGGACTCCTGAAAAGCGTAAGTGGTTGGGGCTGTTGACTCTTCAAGCCATTGGACTGTATGGCTTGCATCATAACTCTAGAATACCATTTGAAAGTGCGAAAAGAGTTTTTGATGACGAAGCCATGAACACTTATCCATGGGGTCGGTCAGCATTTGAAGCCCTGGTTAATTCTATAAAGATGTTGAGGCCTGTTGGAAAGACGTACACCGTCAGTGGTATGGTTTACGTGTTACAGGCTTTGGCGTATGATTCAGTCAAATGCTTTGGAGAGCGATATGGGAGAGTAGTCAACAAGGATGAGATACCGTTGCTTCGTTGGGGTGGAAACCGTACACGTAAAACAATGGAATTGACCATTGCTGAAGATATCAAAGCGCATGGTGAGGTAAGGTTTAGGCTCTGTTATGAAAGTTACTGACTGAGTTATGATAGTTACTGACTGAGTTATGTTTTAGTAATGGCTGAGTTATATTTTGTGATGGCTGAGTTATCGTTTTTGATGACTGATAGTTACTGACTGAGTTATGTTTTAGTAATGGCTGAGTTAAATTTTGTGATGGCTGAGTTATCGTTTTGATGACTGAGTTATGATTTATGCGCTGGCTGAGTTATATTAGTGTTGGTTAGTGATGGCTGAGTTATAATTATTGATTTACTAATGGGTTTTATAATCTCTTATGTTATAGCTGCGTGTGAGTAAATTGGTTATGAAGGATGATGTCAGAGAGCTATTTCATACGTGGCCAGATGAAGAAGAGGACCCAGCACTTGATAATTTGATCCGAGATATACATGAGGATAGGTTTGTTAACGGATATTGGGATGTGAAGAAGACTGAGAAGAAGAGGAAAAATGTAAATTCTAATGCAGCGGGTGACTCTGAATCTCCTGCAAAGAGGCAGAAAGTCCACAATGTCAAGGATGTGATCAACAGTGATGGTGTTGAATCTGGTGAAGGAGATGCAGAAAAGAAGAAGAAGAAGAAGAAGAAGAAAGAAAAGGTAAATGATATGGTATGTAGTGAGTTTATATTTGATGTGATGTTTGGGTAGCTTGTTTATGCGTTTTTGTGTATGTGTTCCAGGTTGGTAGTGCGGAGGACGATGTTCTGGAAGATGTGTCTGTTAAAACATTCGTGGAATTGGTGAAGCAATTAAACTCAAGGTTTGACACCGTTGATACAAGCATCAAAGAAGTGTCTTCAAATATGGAGAAGGTGATTGGAGATAGAGTAGAAGCGAGGATGGATGAAAAGTTTGAATATATGGAGAAGGAGTTGAAACAGATGAAAGAGCGTCTGAATGCAATTGAGCAGGGGGTAGGGAAATCTGGTGAAAACGGTGAGGAAAACTCAGCCTTCAAAGAAACAGAACCTCCCGAAAAGCCGACGCAAGTCAACCTTTTGCTGAATCAAAAAGAAAAAGCAACACCAAAAGGTCCAGCGAAACCTCCACAAAACCAGTCTGTTACTAGTCCTCTGGTAAGCTAACAGTGCCAGACATATGTATAAATACATTGCGGCTGAGTTATTATTATCTTAATAACCTAGTAGCTGAGTTTTCACTATCTTGATCACATAATGGCTGAGTTATCCCCTTACGGCTGAGTTATCATTATATTAATCACATTACGGCTGAGTTATTATTATATTAATCACCTACCGGCCGAGTTATCTTTATCTTATGGCTGAGTTATCGGTACGTTTATGCAGGCGAAGGATATTGTCGATGTTGAGAAGGACATTGGTATTGCTGGTGTCAGTAAGAATCTGGAAAAGGAATTTGCTAATGTCATTGATGGCAAATCTGCTATTGATTTCATAGAAACGTTACCTAATTTTCTTGGGCCTTCCTGGCTGGTTTACAACAATCGGAGGCAAGCACGGTTGGTTAACTACAATTTGAGGAACAGGGATTGCCGTATCGGAAGGCATGATTGGAGCAGCGTATGCGCTAACCAAGTAACTTCTCTTATAGTAAGGACTGCACAGGGATATACGAGACACACCCATATGCTCTGCAGCTGCGATTGCATGTATGCATGGTAATTTCTCGTGGTCGAAACGACGGCATGTGCATTTTTTAGCATCCACATTTACAATATGCAACTGTGATCCATAAGTTACCTGCACGCGTAAAGCATCAATCGTTTGTACACCCATAAGTCTTGCCGCGGTGACACGGGCCTATTAGAGGGGAAAAAAAAAACAAAATACGTTAAGTCTGATTTATGGAAATAATGACTGGTTTAAGAACGTTTGACGACTGACTTATGTAAGCAGTTACAGCTGAGTTACCTGTAACAGTTTTTCAACACCTCGTGAGAGCGTTGTTTGCTGCGAATTCGCGTCCACTCTCCGTTCAGCAAACCATCTGGTCATCATAGTCCGTATCGATTCTAACAGTCGAACTATGGGAAGGCTTCTGGCCTTTGACAGTGCTTTGTTCATTGATTCCGCAATATTAGTAGTCATTAAATTGTACCTTTCACCCGGGAAATGAACACGCGCCCACATTTGGACACCAGCTCGTTGGAGGTATCCATGTAGGTTTTGATCAGACGCTTCAATCTCATTGAACGCCTCATTAAAATCACTCAGCCTAAAACACCTTGCCGCTTTTTTCACCAGAGGGAACAAATGTTTTCCTTTGAATTTCACCAAAATGTTCTTATACAAATGGTAAGTGCAAATTCCACGAGAAGCCAACGGAAACACTTCACCAATTGCTTTCC